CCCCAAAACCCCAAAACCCCAAAACCCCGGCATATAAGCAGGCTATGGAAAATAATCAAGAAGTTATATAATTTAATTCAAATGTTCTCATTCTCAGAACCAATCGAGATTTCTCAGTTTTCAATGGAAGAAGTCAAAGACTCAGGAAACAATGTATTTGCACGGGAAAACAAAGACTCATGCTCATTTGATTCCTTCCAAAGATATAGGGATATTCACGAATATTCCTATTTTGACATCAAGCAAGACCTACCATCTAAATCACCTACTTGAGTATCAAAGAGCCTCAAGAATCCCATGGCTATACCCAATCAAAGCTCCTCAGAATCCATTCCTGTGGGTTCTCTGCCTGTTAAGCCCAGAAAAGGTCGCAAGCCCTGCTTGGTGGGCCTCTCCAAGAGAAATGACACCGTGTTCAAGTCTCTGCTCAGGAAAGTAAGAAGATTTCATTGGGCACAGTTCAAAAAGAAGACTGGCTTCCTTACCAAACACAAAGAGTCAGTTGCTGCCCAGAGAAAGCATCTTAGCCAGTATGCAGAACTCGAGTTCGGAGTGGAGCCTAATCGACTATTTGTGGGCATGCTTGACTCTGTACTATTCATGAAAGAACCGAGGAACAAAGTCAATAACATGTATCGTAACTTGCTGTATAGTTACAACAGTAAGAAGCTGCAGGCCTGAATGAAAGATCCATACTTCAAGTGCCTGGTGTTCCACTACTCTTTCGAAGTGGACCCTACCGAAGTAGATGGAGACGACAGAGAAGTCCTTGAGCTGATTCTTCGTTCATAACTAAAAGACAGAATAGAAGGAGTTGAATATTTTAAGATAAGTTGATAAAGCTCATAACATAATTGGTTGATAAATAAATTTGAAAGAGTAAATAACTTCTATAATTTTTAATATTTGAATTTTAAACACAACATATTAGAAGAATATCTTACCTACCCTTAAGATATGGTCGAAGAAGCCTAGCTTAGGGACTTCCTTTATAAATTTTTAGTACATGGCAAATTATCGCAGATTTTTTAGTCTTCGAGGCAAGAATTTTAATATCGCTCATATGGTATTAAAAATTTTAACTAACTCATTTAATAATAACCAAGCGATTGCCCAAAATTTGCTTTCATTAGATTATTTGGGGTATAGTACTCATAAAGACCATGGTTTAAGCTCTATTATTTTTCATATAATATAGGCTTATTAGGACCCATTAGTCTACCCTATTATTACCTAAGGAAATTATTCAAAATTATTTTGAATAAAGTGCTGTTCTAATAAATCAGAGAGAAGGATCCTAAAAGAAAGGTATATATTAACTAGCCTTCCCAAATTGAACGAGACTCTAGGGATGTCCTATCAGATCCTACCGTCGTTATCATTTTGCTCTATTTTGTATGAATTTTCATGTAATTATTAAAATTTATCCTGAATTAATCAAGGTGGAAATATCCTGAAATTTTTACCAGAAATTAATCTTATCAAAGTCCTATAGCCGCCTTCTTAAATTAAGTTAATGCAAATATTTAGAAGAGAAAGAGCCTTTGAAAAGATTTTTATACAAATTAGATAAGTTGAAATATCTAGTTTCTATAGCCATTGTCACCTGGAAATGCAAGTATAATACCACTGAACTTCCTTGCTGAAATTATCATGCCTAATAACAATTCTTGACCGTAGCATAGCAGAAGAAATATATAAATAATTATTTGATAACATATTTGTCTAGTGAGGCCTCATGCTAGAAATTAAGGTACTAAATTAAACTTAAGTTTAATGTTGAGGGGTCAGCCAAACCACTCTCTGTCTTTTGAATGGCCCATTTTCAATCCTGAAACTCGATTAGGAATTCTCTCTCCTCACCGTAGCAAGTTCAGTTGGAAATATATTCCATAAAATTCTTCAAACCATTATCTTCGAAGGTTCTAAACCCAAAAAAACTATGCCTTTATTACTATCTTTTACCAATTGAGTGATAATGGGCCTCCGAAAGGCTTTCTTTTGTCTCTAAATAAAGGGCTATTATCAAAGTTAACTCTCTTTATTCGAAATATCAGTCATAACAAAAGAGTCCCATTAGTATTCTACAAATTCTTTCAAGCAAATGGAATACTTATAGCAGTAAAAATTTAGGTGAATTATTATTTAAAGCTGTCTTAGACTTCAAGCAGACACGAATTCGGCTTCATTATGGTAAATTAAGACCTACCGATAGCATATAGCTTCCTTACTCCGGATTCATTAAAAATATTTAAGAATATCAGAGTGATTTCTTGGTGACTCAGAAGTAGCCGTTAATTACATTCCATCAGAAATTATGAAGAAATTTTATATTTTCTCAGTATTTATGGATAGTCAATAGTTTTCATTTCAATAAATTTTAAGAAGTGGCTGCCATTGGAAATTTGGGCTGATTTAAACTCAGATAACACCGACTCCACCCCCAAATTCTTACTAAATTCTCTCACTTTATCCCATAATTTTTTCCTACACAATCTTCATTCTCTTCACCCCATCCTTCAATCCCAAAATCTCAACCATCCGACACTCAATAACTCCATTTCTCCACCCATCAGTGAACACTAAAGCCCACAGATACCATCCCTTCTCTTCCTACCTCACCACTCTGTACAACATATTTTCAAACTCTTCTATAAACCCCAGCATAAAAGTCCCAGAGTCTTAGAGGGAGATATGGGCGAGAATTCGGTTGGGTTACTTTTTTGTGAGTTTATTTAGGATTGATTTTGAGGGTTGGGGTTAGTTGATGAATAGTGGATGGTTCATAGTGGTCGTTGAGATAGAATAGAGGGGTTAGAGGATGGTATTAGGTCTTAATTGGTGTTCTAAGTGTCTTCTCTGGTGAAGCCTATGCCGCAATGATAGCCCACAGTGTTTAGTTGCTCTTTGAGGTAGCCTATTTTGGTAAATTATAGACTTCCCGAGAATTCGTGTCATTTTTATTTTTATTTTAGTGATTAGAAATTAAATAAGTTTGATAATTTTGCTAAAATTTTCATCAATTTTGAATGACCTCCAATGAAGAAGCGGTGAGAGTTCTCTAATCAGGCTTATGAGGCTTCAAAAGCGTTGTTTGTTAATTAAGACTAACTGTATAGTTCCTGACCCAACCTATCGCTTCGCTAAATTATCTAACTTAATGGATCAATTAGAAATTTTCAATTTTTTAAAAATCTTGAGATATAAGGCAGATGATATTTCTACTGAAAGCTCTTGAAGGATACTTTATTTATATTTGTGAATAAACGATACAGTTTCATGTTAAAGGTGAACCTAAAAATATCTAGATTGTTTTCACTGTCAAATTTTCTGAATTATTTCTCAGGACCAAGTAAAACAGGTTATGAGCGTCTGAAAATAGTCGCAAATTTCGAACTATGAAATAATTTATTTTCTCCATTCGTATTTCAGGCTCATGCTGTTATAAAGAACATCTGGGCAGCACCAAAAAGCTTACAATAAGAGCAGTCTCATGGTAATATGAGATTACTGTATACATAGATATCTTTTGATTATTAAATTCACCTACTAAATTAGAAATTTTGATAGCCCTGTCAACTCATATTTCAACTCTAATGAAACAAAAATCTAAAAAAAATACTTAAGGTTCTCTATTTCAGTGTTTATTGTAGTTAAATGGATAAGTCCGATGATTCATTAGAAGTCTGAATAGTTGAAAATTTTAAAGACAGCAATTTTATTTGTGAAGAAATTTTACCTCTTCTTGGTGAAGGTAATTTTTGTCTCTAATTTAAGAAAATATGCAAAAATGATGGTCAATGAGATACAAAGCTAGCTATAACCTGCATATTTTCAAGACAAAAAGCTATATAATGGTGCCACCAATATCTGCCAAAGGTTTGAAGTAAAAATAATTAGTCAAAAGGACAATAAAAGCACAAGTTAGGGATTTCATCATTTGTAAAAACTTGAAATTGCTGGACTTGAAAGAGCGATAAACTTCCTGGCTTATTTGTTAAGCAATATCTCCCTTATCAAAGTATTTCAGAGGTGTGTTTAATTATTAAGCCAAACTCTCTCATAGCAGAGTAATTGATTTGAATATGAAGATTGAAATACCGTTTGCTCTTCTTGAGTATGAGCATAATTTATGTCACTAATCGTAACTATGTTATCAGAACTCCTATTTTGCTTCTAAATTATTACAAGAATTCCCCTCTAAGACTTTGATCGTACATCTCTTTTTCCAATAATTAACCTACTAATTTAACTCAAAAATTACCACTCAGAATACCCCAAAAGTCCCTACCATCACCTACAAAACTACTCTACTACAACTACTCTACCCTCTCCACATAATATCTTCCCCTCCTTCCCCCTTAAAACCCCCCTCAACCTCTCAACCCCTCAATTCAACATCTCCTCTTCACCCCGGGGTTTTGGGGTTTTGGGGTTTTGGGG